CCAACGCCAGACCCACACCGCGCAGCCAAGACTAGTAGTAGTGGTTCTGGACCTGCCTCTGCTTCGTTTTGTAGGATTCATTCAGTTATCTAGTCAGGATAACTCAGATGATGACCTCAACATCAGTCCAGTTTTCATTATGAAACATCAGTTTAAGCCATCCTTTTACAGAGTTTACACAGTTTACAGAGTTACAGCTCAATGAAACACTTGATTTTACCGTGAATGACGTTAACCGTAAACTCAGTATTGTGATTGTGCTCGTGTTGAAGGACGAGGAGCAGCCCAGAGTTTTTGAGATGCCGAGATCCTGGGTCAGTTACATCAATATCTCGAAAAAAGGTACAGTAACTCCACAGGAGCACGATTTATCTGATGGTGAGAGCCTGTACACTCTTTATGTTCAAGATCTAATTAGTGTTTTATATTCAGTCTGTAAAGATGAAGGAATCATTTCTTCAGGATCAGAGCACAAAAACTGACAAAACATTAAAGCATCCAGACAAAAACATAAAACAACTTAACGGAACAGTTCACATCAAAATCAAAAAAATAGATTTTTCCTCTCACCTGTAGTGCGATTTGTCCGTCTGGAAAGAAAATAGTTCTTAAATGAAACTGCTCACAACAACGTCTGTGGATCATCTTGAGTAATCAGGTCATGATTTCTGGAAAGAGACATTGCTGTTGAGTATTTGAAATGTTGTTTTTCTTTGGCGCTTTGAGCTCAATCTGGTTCCATTGTACTGGAGAGAAGGCAGACATCTCTACGGCCGATAGAAAAACCTCCACAAACAGCCGCCTCTCTTTTCTTATTCAGACCTGGAGAATCGCTGGCTGGGGGGACAGAAGGTGACCTGCTACAGAAAAGCAAAGCTGGAGAGGTTTGCACCATACCTGAAGTCAGACGGCCTGGTCACACGACTGACTGCATACAAAGACCTGGACTGTGAGACAAACAGGCTTTTAGGGCATTTTTACTAACAGCAGAGCGCTAAACGTGCTAATTTATGTGTTTTGAATTTGTGCATAACATGAAGTGTGTGTGTGTGTGTGTGTGTGTTGAAGGCACTGAGGTCGTCACGGTGAAGGAACGGTATCAACACAGAAAGGACCACCTGGAGGAGAGGGAGGTCAACAAGGTCGACAACTTCACCATAGAGCGCTTCAAACGTGGACGAAGTTTCCACCTTCTATGTAAATCTGCTTTCTGCCGCCGTCCAGTTAAAACCTCACATCACCTAAGACTTGTTTTATGAAGGATCAAATCTCATCCCTTTCCTCCTATCGTTATTTCTTCTTCCACCCTTCTTACTTATGAATCTTGTACACGTGGTAAAAAGCACATCACACTTCAAACTAATAATTCTAAGCAGGTTTTGTAGTTTTAGAAAATCTTGTAATATAAAAAATCATTGTCTCATTGTAGGTAATCAACTGAGAAAGTTTTGTTGGTGATATCTATTAGTTAAGAAAATGTGTTCCAGTTCACAGGTACATATCCTGGAGCATTGACACTGAGCGCGAGATGGCGTTCAACAGTGCTCGTGCTGATAATCTGGTGCGGCGGATGGAGTTACCGGATGAAATGACGGAGATCTTTGAGGGCCGGGAGGACTTCCTCTACTACCGGCACACCGTCTTCAGTCGACACATCCGGTTTTCAGTCTTTAATCCGGATCTCCGACCAGCACAGGTCTGTCTGTCAGTACTTTCTGACTTTCTGTCTGTGGCTCTCAGCTTCAAGCCCATTGGTTCCTACTAAAGACACAAATCTTTAAAAACACCTCTTAAATATATAGTTTGACTTTTTAAAGGCTCAGTAATTTGCTGAAACAGCTGCTCACTGTAGTTCTTATCTACTACAGAGTATTAGGGCAAGACTAAGAGAAAAAAATATTTTATTGTTTTGGGAAAATTACGAGAATAAAGTCGTAATATCAGAGAATAAAGTCATAATATTATGAGAATAAAGTCTTAATGTTACGAGAATAAATTAAACAGTTTTGCTGGCTCAGCCAACAGGCTGACAGTTATCATAAAATTACTACTTTATTCTCGTAATATTATGACTTTATTCTGTTTTTTATTTGTTCTAATATAAATTTAATGATCTTTTTCTGTGTGTGACACTGCAAAAAATGTCCTTGATCCTTGACAGCATGAATACAGTCTTACAAAGACTTAATGCCAGGATCACACATCACATGGACTTGAAGTACTTCACCGCAGTGTTACTTAACTCGTAAATATGTGAGGCTGTAGATGTAAACAGTAAGTCTGAAGTCTGTTGTAAACTTAATCAGCAGCCAGTGGACTTTAAGGCTGAGAGGAGGCTTTGTTGCTTAGAGTGAGCCCCACTAACACAGAGGATGTTCTTCATATTGTGTTCATGCTTATGTGCATTTGTGTGTGCCAACAGAAAGTGGTGGAGCGTTTCCACAGGAACAGATCCAAACCGGCCAGCGAAGACGTGGCCGAGCGAGTGTTCCTAATAACCCAAAGACGGATAGAGGTGACCTATCACTTAGAGGATCACAGATTTATCCCTTCAAGGAGGAGCTTCATCAAACCAGAAGAGTCAACGGAACAAAAGAAGGCAGAGGATTTCACACCGGACATGGTCTCCAGCTTCCAGGTGCGGACAACAAGTAGTTTTCACAGACTTTCAAAGTAAAAGTCTGGGATCATACGCTCTGATAACAACATTTGTGCATCTGTTTGTGTGTGTGGGTTCAGGTGGATCCATCTGAGAAGCCTCTAAGCACCCTGACTCTGTGTGAGATGCTGGTGGTCCTGATGAAGGATGAAGAGAAGGTGCTTCTCCAAATCGAAGATTCTAAGATGGAGGTAACATGTTTCCCTCAGTGTCACCTGGAATATCAGTGTAGCTGTGTCCCATTTCAGAGGTCTGATCCTCTGTTTCAGGGATCTTTATTTGTCCAAGGGCCACAATTTATCTGAGCAGACACTGAGGGCTGGACTTACAGACAACATTTGCATATTCATAGATTCTGCAAAGAAGGAGTAGATGACTTTATAAGGCTTTTAATGTGGAAACAGACACATATCATTGATCCAGTCAGACTATCTGTATATTTGTTAATACATGTCAGGAGGGGATCTTTAACTAAAGAATTCTCTCTATGCACCATTATCAACACCTGGTTAATACTACAGGTCCCAGAATACTTATGGCAGCTAAACAAACTATTATCGTTTAAATAAAGAAGTCAGGCAACAGTTTTCCTTTTCCCATTTTTCTGTGAGTAACCGTGATCTGATTTTGGAGGAACACGGTGAAAGGAGTTAATTACCTCGCTGAGAGGTTGGAGGTGTACAGCCTGCTGCTCTTCCTCTAACACTGACCAGTACTTCATACATCAGACAGAGACGCATCGCTGACGTGCGACCGCTTCAAACACACCTGGGCAAAGAGTGCTGGGCTGTGAACGTAACTGCTAGCTGGCCTATTTATTGGCACATTAAACGGCATCACAGTCACCAGAGAGATTCACCGATTAGTATTTGAATTATAGGGTGACCTTGAATTACTAATTAATTATTTAACTCTCATTTGCCTTTGTCATTATCGCACCGTTCCTATCACCGGCATCAGAACAGGAAGTGGTAAAGTAAAGCCCGCCTCTCGATTTAATTGAAAGACAATATTTGAACTTGGAAAGTGTCTTTTACAGTCTGACCTCCACCCACTCCACTGGTCTGTGACACCACTCTTTACTCACTTGCTGGTTCCCAAATGTCCCCTGATATAGACATTGCCAGCTCCTTAAGTCAAACATTTCCCCGTTCATCCCCAGTAAGGTCCCCATGAACAGCTCCACGATACTTGAGTTTATTTTCTAAGTTAGTACGTTGAGGATTTGCTACTTAAGTTAAGGATACTTCTTCTGCCACTTATGTGCGAGTAGGTGAAAGACATTCTGGCATGCAGAAAGCAGGAGGAGGAAGACATTCAGCTACACTTCTCACCATGGACGACAACAGGAGCTGCCAGGGCCCGCAGTCAAAGACAGGAAATGGTGGGACACACACACACACAACCACACATGCATACTAAAACAATACATGGGACCCAGTTGTGTTGGAGGGTTGTCCGTTGCATGAAACCAATCAGATTCCCAATTTGACATCCAGTATATCAACAGTTAGCTGCCTTCCTATAAATAAAAATCATGTAATCCATTCAATGTAATTCAGTTTAAACAGTCACGAAACAGTCCGTCCGTGATGTCTCGCCGTATCTGTGCTGTTGCAGGAGCGTCTGGCTGTGGAGGAGCAGAAGTGGCTGCAGGAGAAGGAGAAGGACATCCTGGCTCCCCTCCTGATCCGGCTGGACAACACAGAGACTCTGAGAGCCGAAGACGCCAGGCAGATCTACCAGGACTGTTTGGCCGAGTTCAAAGAGAGACTGGTGGAGCAGGCCAACCTCATTCAGGAACGCTACGAAAAGGTACAGCACAAGTTAACTCATGATGAATGTTACGGCTCGACTCCACTCGCTCTTTGGGTTTGCCATTGTGGATACTACCTGGTGCTGTTTGTGGTACCACCTCGGTCGAGCGAGCTGATACTAAAAGGTGAAGGGAAAACACAGCAGACCACTAAACAAACCGATAGTGACAACAACTTTTTGGGGGGAAAAGGAAAGAAAGAAGTTGTCAATCTGGTAGTACATGTACAATGTAGGTTATAATTTGTGAATGAATAAAGGCTGCAGCTTCTCACGACGGAAGTGAAGCTCTCGTATTGTTTTCCAACCGCATCGCTATGACGATCAGCTCCGCCTACGTAGAGGAGGTACCATCCAAAGTACTACGGGGTTCCCACTCGTCCAGAAAAGGCTGGAAATTTAGAGACTAGTTTTCCAGTCATGGAAACACCAGGAAATTGATTAAAATGATCAAATATTCTGGAAATATTCTCTGTTGTCCTGGAGTTTTGTATTTTAGCTTCTCACTCAAAGATTTAATTTAATCTCCATACATACAGCTTATTAATGATCAAATGTCTTGTTGCTGTGAGTTATAAATACATGCACACTGATGTTAATTGTACGTGTAATAAACAATTTAACTTTCTGGAAAATAAATTCTACTAGATTTGAACTGTTATTTATGGGATGTAACCAAATTTATGTAGTCAATTTGCCCCAAAATCGCAGCTTATATGTCCATTTGTAAGCAAGTGCTGTCCTGTACTGTCAAGTAAAACAACCAAACAAAGAGTGGGAGCTCTGAACTATCTACAGTGGAACACAAAGTCGAGTGTCGTAGTGTAAATACGGCATTAGAGACACTACAACTCTGCTGTTTTTTGTGTGCACGCTAACATGTTGACAACAATCGGTGTTTAGGAGACTCAGGAGCTGCAGCAGAAACAGCAGTGGTACCAGCAGAACCAGCTCAACATGACGGGGAAGCAGGAGGATGAGTACCAGACCTACTGCGCCGAGAAAACACTGCAAATACACATCGCCAAGAAACGGCTCATCATGTACGTACTCACAC